TCTACCGAATCAAGCTCAGTGGAGGGTAATTATTGGTCTAAGCTACTGGGACTGTATGTTATGCAGTATTATCTGCTTCCTTCTATCTGTGTTTATCAGGATTCCCTTTAATATTAGCACCTTGTGCCCTTCGTAGGCCCTTTGCATACATTAAGCTCTATTCCTCGACTCCAACAGAGATGATGATGGGTGCAGCCAGATTGTTCTTCTGTTTATAAGCACAGCAGAATGATCTGGTATCACCATCAAGTGCTGGGTAGATGGATCTGATAGTTATTATGTACACAAGACTTCACTGCTCTAGTAGTTTTATATTTGCAATAGAGACTACAGTTTATGGCTCCTGTGAAGATACAGTGGTAGGATGTAACATTTCAAAAGTTAATGTTGTTTGAAGTGAAGATTTTCCTTTTATACCCATTATTGTTTTTCTTATAACCAGGTTTGAAAATGGTAACTATTGCCCGAGTTCAGTTTTCACATGAAGACTCTCGGTAACAATGGATGAAGTAAAGCTTATTTGGTCTTAATTTTCACTCCAGAGCTTTACCAAAAGTAGGCTGATAGGAAACAACATGCACTCCTGTGCAAACTACTACAGAACCTGCTGTACTGCTGGACTCATGTCTGTGGTGAATACAAAATCATCTGTTATCACACCCTCTCACAGCAGCGCTAGACGTCCCAAAATACAAACTGCTCAAGGCATCACTCCTATGCTGCAGCCAATGCCCTGTAATTGAAGCTGCAGGGTGGTAATGATGATGCAAAGTGGTTTGCTTGGAGCCAGACTGAAGTTTCATCTGCTGGCACTGCCCCCAGTGTCTCCCATCGGCCTCAGACAGCCACCCTTTTACTACAGTTTATCATTTTCTCTGTGTTTGACGCTCGTATTTTGTATATACAACTTTTGAGTAGTGTGCAACACACAAACTGGCATGCTTATTGATTTGGAGGACTGCAAGATTCCAGCTTGAAATAGTTTTCTGAAAGAAAGGATTGTTTGGTTTCTTCAAACATGTTCCCTTTTCATGGGTAAGTGGAGTATAAATTAAATAAAGGGATTATTCAAATAAATATTGAACAGGGGAAACATCTTTTCTGCAGCTGTCTTTGCAGCACCAACCACAATTTATGGAAAAATTTGGGAGATTGAAAAACAAAAGGTTGCTTCAAGATTTTTTTTCTCTTTGGCCAAACTTCACACTTAGAAAACAGGAAAAAAAAATAGCCATTTATATTTAAAAAAATGTTCTTCACAACCATGAATGTAAAGAAATTGATGGTTGTCTCATTTTGAGATCTGTTTATTCAAAATGAACTGGAAAATGTGATTCTACTTTTCCCCAAAGTCACCATCTACTTTTCTCATTAAAAACTGACTGTCAAAATAAAGATGTGACTGATGAGACCTCTAATTTTAGTCATGCTGTTTGTAAAAGACCTTATCATATTATAAAAGCATACTTGTGTTTTCAATGCAAGTGCTCTCATTCCTCTAAATGTTCATGGGTTGTAAAGTGAAAAGCAGTATGTGTTATTGGATGTGCAACTTGAAGCCAGGGCAGCATACCAGAGACTTGCCCTAATGATCTTGGGTTTGTTGACTATGAACTTTTGATTACAGTTCTGTACAGCTTTAATCAAAGCTTCCTCCTCTTGGCAGCCACAGGAACCACTGAAAACTGGCTGATATTCCTCTGCGTTCTCTCCCATCTATGGCTATGTTGCTTTCCAACACACACAAAAAAAGCAACAAAACAAACAGGCTTCCCTACTTTAACCAAGTCTGGATAGATAAAACAAAGGGACATTGTGGGCAGTGCCAAGGCTGGAGTTTGCAAAGGCATTGTAGCTTTAAATCAACCACGAGTAATGCATTTGAATTGAGCAATACTGTTTGTAGGTGTAATGAAGGCGCCTACAGTTTAAAGGTATGTCAGCTATGCTACTGTTACTGGGCTCATATTCTGGTGATGGATTCTGCAAAATAGTTAATGATGATAAGGTTCCTGCTTTGGTTGTGCAACTTTTAGTTTTTATTCAAAGTAAGTGGAAAAACCTCCATTTATCTTTCCAAAAACTACAATTTTACTCAAGGGAAACATCAAGGGAAAAAAACTGTTAAAAAAGTCATGGCCAAAAATTCTTGTTTTCCTGTCTTGAACATTCAGAGCCTTAATGGGAACACAGGATTGTATGAGATGCACAAAGAAAACTAAATTATGTGTGATTTGTTGATTTTTACTGAACACTTTACTGGATGAGCAACTCAAGCACAGTGAACAGGTGAAGTCATTTTCATGTTCAATATAATTTTATTTTTTTAAAGCTTTGTGACAAAGTGACGATAAAGCAAAGAAAAAGGTCAACAGTATTCTGATAGTTTCCTGTTTAAGAAGAGTTAATTTCTGTCAATGCACAAAAAAGATGCAAAAAAGATCCCCTAAAGAATTATACAGTTAATATTATACAGTATGTGAATGAGGCGAGGATAGATCGAGATTCATCAGATCGGTCAATATTTTCTCACCTGTTCTGGTCTTCTGCCACTGAATCTCTTGTGGTTCAAGGTTCAACATGTTGTGCTTTCAGAGATTGTTTTCTACATTCTTTGGTTGTTATGACTGATGATTTAAGGCACTGTTGCCTTTTTTCATCTCAAGCCAGCCTACCCATTCTCCTACGATCTAAGCATGGCATTTTCATCCTTACAAAAGCTGCTAACTGGAAGTTTGGCAGTCTGTTTTCTGTGAACCTAAGCAATAGTTGTGTGGGGAAAATCCCAGTAGATCAGTGATCTCTGAGCTACTGAGACCAATCTGTCTGGAATCATCTACCATTCACTGTTCAAAGTCACTTAAATCCTCTTTATCCACACTGTTGGGCTTATGTTAAACTTCAAATCTCACTCGCCACATCTAGATGCCTAAACACATTGAGTTAGAAGCAATTTTTACTGTTTATGTTAACTAATTGAACAGATACGTCCCTTTTAAAGTGGCTGTTTTTTCACTCTTCAGCTTTTCTATTGTTGCGTTCATTGCATTTCTCTTTTCTCGTATAGATCACATTTTTAGACGACCAATCTTGAAGATCCACAGTTATGTAACATCCACCTTGTTTGCATTAGCAGGGATTTATATCCACATACTGTTGGACTTTAGTTGGTCTATCTCAAAAAAGTCTCTAAAGCATGTGTGTCCATCAGGTATATGAGGTCTAGATTGCTTCGCAGCAGGAGAGCAAACGGATGAGTAGTTTTGTAGTGTGATGGATTGTCTGAGTCCTGAGTCATATTATTGGGTTTATATAGGGGGAAAAAATCGAAGGGAGCCGTCCCAATGATCGTTTCTGGTAAAAGCTTCCTGGCATCCACCACTAATCTGCCCACTCTGGAAAGAAAAAAGAGGAGGAAAATTGGACTCAATTGAGAACAGAGCTATTGTTCAAAGACCTGCTGAATTGGAAGCGGGTGCTGGCATCAACCACAAAAATCATCCATTTCATCCATGCCACTGTGTTTCTGTCGGGTTCCTCTGTCAGCTTTGACTTTAGCCTCATACTGCTTGAAAAGTTGGGTGGAGTCATTTTCTCTCTTGGATGGAGCCTGTGCAGCTCTGATGCCAGCTGGTGACTGTACAGGGAGGAAAACTCGCTGAGCTATATTGTGCAAGATGTTTTCATTAGTTTTTAGGGACTATGAGGACTGTTACTCAAATAGTTTCTAAGCTGAAGCTCAAATATGTTTTGCATTTTATTAACCTTCTCTGTTAAGGTGAATAAAAACTATTTTATGGCTCTAGAGGTTTGTCAGCTTTACAGGTGGTCATAGTTAGAAAGGAGACGGCCTTTTAATAGTAAAATTCCTGACAGTAAAAGTGTCCTGAATGATATATGTACTGAGCCTTTGTCCTGGGGTTCAGAGTGCATACACATGTAGTTTATTTTAACATAATCTTCTAATACTGATGTAATTTAAGTTGAACAAATCCACCATTACTCTTAATGCAAGTATAACTTTATGCTTAGGTGTCTTTTTATGCAAGCAGCTGACACATCGATTCAGATGCGTTGTTCATTAGCTGATTGTATTCACTTGGTATGTGGCGCCCTCTTCTGGTAGAAGAACGTAATTCGTGTAATGAATCGACATTCTCTCCTGACTGGTGCTGATGTAAAACGCAGCTTCATAATATTTCCAGCAGCAGCACTGCACCTCTGACCTCCATTTGAAAACTATTAAAGTGCATAAAAGCATATTTCCAAAATCAACACTGTTATTAACACAGAACATTTGGAGTGATGGAATGAAGCGAGTTTCTTCCTATAAAAGGCGATCTGGATTTAAAATGTTGATGGAGGCTGCTGATGCTCATCAGCACAGCAGAGATGGATGTTGGTTGTTAATAGAAACTCAGGTTATCAAAAACAAAGTCAGATGATGTATTGCTTTTGCTGGATGAAACTGTAATGTGTTTCATTCACATATGATGATGTGTATCCTCTATTGTTTTGTATGCAGTACATGGGTTATCATGGTCTTTGATTTTAGATCATGGAGCTGTGTTTTTAGGCTATAACTGATGTCATCTCAGGTTTAGAGCCTGATAGAATCAGGATTTTGCTTTCTGCATGAGCGTAACAGAACCGGTCCCCCTTTTTAAGCCCTCATACTCCACAAGAACAAATGAAAAAATTATTTCTCTTCAGCTGGCATGAACAAAGTTTGCTCTTCCCAGGACGTTTCATACTTTGCAAGAAACTCAAGTGCACAGCACTTGTATGCTCATAGGCCTCTCTTTCTTTAGCCTTTGGTAGTAAAGCATCTATACCCAATTCTAATTTCTGACAAATCACTAATTTGTCAGGCACCGCAGAAAAAATTAGTTAATGCGCTAATTTCTATGTTTTCACAGTCTGTGTGCAAGTCTTTTACCTGCGCTACTTGCTTTTGTGTCATTGTCCTTTATTTATTTATTCTTTTGTTATTCTTCTAGGAGTTTTTTCCTTCTGACTTCAGACACCCTTCTGGGTCCAGCAGGACACCAACCCCACCAGGACGCTACTCGCCTCACAGCCCCACTGACCGCGATGTTCCCATGTCCCCCAGGCGCAGGTAAACACTCCTCCTATTGTCATTTAGTTTTTATTTACTCCCCATTTTGTGACCAAAGGCTTATTCTAATATTTTATATAGAAATTACAATTGGAAATTACTCTAACTCCTTGTCATTTTTTGGATCAAGGCTGTATGTTGTTTTACATAAGAATTTAGCAAAAAGCTTTGGATTAAATCAAATTCTAAATAAGCTTTACTTGAGATGCCATTTATGGGATAAATGTTTGAAGTGTAAAAAATATTTTAATTCAAAAAGTTGTTTTTGATTAGAAGTACAAATTTGAAGCTTTGAGCTTGAAGAAAAAAAACAATAAAATAAAAATAATTTTTCAACAAATTTTAAGTCAAGCAATCAATTAAAATTGGCTTTAATTACCAGTTTTATTTGCATAAACAAGAAACTTGACTTCAGTTTCTCAGTTTAGCTACATATTAACTTTAGAGGTTAAAAAACTAAAGCACACCATATGCACTATTTTCTTTTTAAAATGTATTAAAAATATACTATATCAAGACAAATGTCTTCATATTTGATGAAGAACAAAACAGTGTCATTTTTCAAGTACAGATACCCATGTGAGTGAACCTAAGTAAAAAATATGATTGTTGATTTCTTTATATTACCAACTGTATGAGGAATATCTTTTTGTGTGAACAGCAAATAAATTGTTGATTCCTTGTATTTCCAGTCAGACAATGAAAAAATATAAATGACATCCTGGATAAAACTGAAATGAAAGGATCTTACTTCTGTGTTGAGTTTGAGAGTATTTGCCAAATGATGTTGATAATTCGTCATCTCTCATGGTGTTTGTCAAGAAAATACTTGCAAATTTTTTTTTTTTTAGATTAAAAATATATTTTCTGGAGCGATTTTCTCCTACTTTTAGCTAATCTTTCTCTGAAAGGCCTGTGTGGAAAATGGTTTAAAACTGGAATTAATTTCAGTGTGAATCATTTCTTTTAATGATTAGGCTTTTCAGCCATGCAGCTGGCTCTTTATTCTCATCCTGGAGCATTCTAGCCGTTTCCATGTTTTTGCATACAAGCATGTAGAAACATCTGACTGAACTGCAGTAATGAATACTGATAAAATGTTCAGCCTTTGGGAAGCTCTGTGCAGTTTCACTCTGCAGAGTTTCGGAGCCGCGCCCTTGGAGTTGATGGAGCTGTAATTTGACTCATTTTCCAGTGTTCAAATGCTGCCTACTGAACTTTGTTTGGAATGTTTTTTGTTAATGTAAAAAAGAAAAAAAAAAGTTTGTTGTTCCTTTTCTAATCCTTTTGTCCACACATTCTGCTGCAGAAGCTGGTGTCTGTGTTTTGACGGGGCAGGATGGTTGGCTTTGGCCCTGCTTCCCTGCTGGTTAACTCTGGCTACCCAGAGGTCATGTCTGCAGCTGCAAGTCCTGTCCAAGAACTTGATATTCCCCAAAAAAGAGCAATTACTTCTCCCCCTGATCGGCCCCCTGTCTGTAGCCCCCAGCCAGCTCAATAAGCCTCTCCCCGCTTCTCTGCAGCCAATCAGAGAAGTGGTGACGCCTCCTTAATGCCGCGTGGCCAATGAATTTCAGCCCAGGGCACACCTTTCACTCACAATCTTGTTTTTCTGTCTCGTCTGGTTCAGAGTGAAGTCTCTGATATTAGTTTTTATTTTTCCATGTTCTGAGTTGTTTCACAGACTTAGAAATTACAGGGGCTTTTTTATGAAGTTGTGCTTTTCCTGTGATTTTTTTTTTTTTCTTTTTTCTGAGGTGAGTCATTGAGTTGTCATTTAGATTTTAATTCAGCACAAAAGTTGGATTTGTTTTTTTTCTGCTGGCAGGAAACTAGGTCCAGACATTTAGCAGTTTGATCTCTGTGTTTTGGTTATGTGCTGGATTGTTATCATTACTTCTCTTGGCCTGCTACAGCTTTGTGTCAGATGTAGATGATTTATGCAAGTGTTTGTTACAGATGTGATAATATTTAATCCCACTCAGTGTTCAGGAAGTATCGGTGCATTTGAGTGTTTTAGATCTGTACATTTTTAATCATCTGTCAGTGTATGTGGCTGCTTGTTAATGTGTGTTTGTTGTCTGTTCCTGTTTTGTCAGCTGTTTTGTGACTGCATGTTGGAATAATGTGAGAGGAAAAGGGGGAAATGGGTAGCTTTGGGTGGAGCGGTGCATGTGGAAAACTTGGAGGTCGTGCTTCAGAAGTCTGTTTCCAATCTGGTCCTTTGCTCATTGATGCAGAGGAAAGGCCCAAAGCATGTTTGTTTTTTGTGTTCTGTTGAAATCATGTTGATACAGAGTCCTGTCTGAAGCTGATACAATTCAGTCAAACAAGCTTGGAAAAAAAAAAGAAACAAAAGTTTAACTCATCAAACCTAGGCTGCTATTTTAAAATCTTTTGTATGAAAGTCCTACTTGGTTTAAAAAAAAAAAAAACAAACAACTTTTTTAAATGTTTGCCTGTTTTGTCTCAATCAAACTAGTTTGAAAGCCTAAACACGAACTTGTAAGATGAATAAAGATTCCTCTCCATTCATCATTTTTGTGAAGAAATACATGTCCATATATTTTAATATACTCCTAAGTGGAAATCCATTTCTTATTGAGTTTCTTATTGATATTCTTCTGTAATAATCAAACACCAAACTCAGCCTTCGAAACGAGGTCCTTTATTGACCCTTTGGTGATATTACATTGACCAGCTGGAGCTGCATCCTGCTGTTTTGACGGTGAGCCCATTGAATCGTTGAAGATTCGTCACGCAACACGTGTGTGTTGATGGCTCACTCTCCAAGAATTTTGCTGAGTGGCAACAGGTTGTACAGCCTGTCAGGTTTCAGTGCCTGATTCTGAGCAACGAGTTGTCAACAGGCACAAGGCACCAAACACCTGGCCTGACTGGAGAATACCTGCCCAACCAGTTCCTGCCAATGGCAAACACTCATGTTCTTTTGATATGTGGAACCAGTGGGAGGGACGGACAATTATTTAACTTTTTGTCCTAATTTTTATAGTATCCTGGTTGAAAATTCAGCTGCTTGTGTAGAAGCATAAAACCGCTGTGAACACTACTTCGAAAATCTTATAATCTTAGGATTATAAGGCCAAAGGGTTAATTATGTCGATTATGTCATGTTTGGGTGGAAACTAGTTTGACCTCGGGTTTCTGGTGTTTAATAAACTGTGATCTGTTGTTCTGCTTTCCCTCTGCAGTAGTTCCAGTTCTGACTTTGCCATGCAAAGGTTTGACAGGAACTCGGAGGTGTACAAGATGATCCAGGAGAACAAGGAGTCACGCACACCACCTCGTCAGTCCAACACCTTTAAAATGCTGCAGGAAGTGCTGGAGGCTGATGAGAAAGGTTAGAAGCATTGCTGGTTTGAAACTCTGTGGGGGATTGACATCAGCCAGGAGAATTGTTTTGGTTTTTGGTTGTTTTTTTTTCTAAATTTGAATGTGGAAAAAAGGGGAAAAAAAGTTGGACAAGCATGTTGTCAGAATGTCTTTATCAGCAGGTTTGTTTATGTCTGTGTTTGTCTTCAGAGGCAGCCCTGCGGTTTCCGGGGAAGCTTTCCCCCAACCCACCGAAACAGAGCACATCTGCTGCAGGAGTCAGCAAACACCACACCTGTGAGAAGTGTGGCACAAGCATTGTGTAAGTCCTCCTGTAGTTTTATTACCACTGAGGTACTGGATGCTTATGTTCACACACCAATCTTAATGTCGCGTTGAACTTTTGATAATGCATTTGAACAGTTATTTATCAAGGGTTAAAGGAGTATACAACATAAAAAAATCAACTAACCTTGTAAACAAGATGTGGATGCATAAGTTCAAGTTTGTTTTGTATTTTTTCTCTAATCCAGATAAGGTCAAAACTAAAAAAACTCTCACACATCCCCATAAATATGGATGAAAAAATGCAAGCAAGTTGCTAAACAGTCTTTTTGCACATATAGACATCCTTTCTTTTTAATTCTGGCTACATATTTGATAAATTGTTTGAAATGTGAAAAACTTGCATTTAGCTTACTCTCCATATCCTTTTATTGAACTGTGGAAATGTATGTCTAATGCTAGAAATGGGCTGGTATTGTTTTTATTTTTATAACATATTATGGTAAAATCACTGTTTTTATTGGCTTATTGAACCGTTACTAATTTGCAGTAAAATGTCTCTACTGAATGGGAGCATGAGAGCATGTTTTGTCTTGTGAGGCTTTATCTGTAGTCTTTTAGCTAAAAGTTTGATATTTTTCAGGCATCTTAACATCATAGTAACCACACTTAATCACCACAAAAATGACAAAGTTTTAGTTCCATTTATTTCATCCCCAAAATATACTCTAAAGAAAATTCATAAAATAAGACCGTATTAAAAAAAAAAAAAAAAAAGGTCAAACATCCATTCAGAATTATGTCAGAAGTTTGTTACAGGAAGTACGTGATTCCACAGCAACTTGCTAAGGAACTTGTGACACAACATAATGTTTTTGTGTGGGTGGGTGGGGGAGAATAATTTGGACCTAAATGGGAAACAGAAAATTCAAACTCAAACTTGGGCACCCAATTCTAGTTTTTACAAGTTCTTTGCAGTCATTAGTTACATCATTCCAAATTGGAAAAATATGTTTATCTGGATCATTGAAAGCTCAGAATTAATTACATTTATTCCAAATAAGTATATGTAAGCTCCTCAAATTAGGTTTTAAGAGATTTTCCACATTGCTGAGGCAGTGGAACATTTGTATTTATGGACTAAAGGTTTTATGTATCTATCTTTTGTCTGTTTTTTTTTTCCGGATTTAATATTAAATACACATTAAGGGGGCACTTACAGAAGCGCCACCTGAAATTGATAAACATTTTGTACTTGCAGAAAGAAATTTGGTAAGAACTGCAAAAAGGACAAACCTTTGAATAAAAAAAGTGGAACAGACTGCATTTATCCAGCAGAGCGAATCAGAGAAGACAGAAGAAAATAAGATGCTTTTCAAATATCTGACATGTTTACATCTCTATTCAACCCCACAGGACACAGGCAGTGCGCATCACGGACAGCTCCTTCCGTCACCCAGAGTGCTACACCTGCACAGATTGCGGGCTTAACCTGAAGATGAGAGGTCACTTTTGGGTTGGAGATGTAATGTATTGTGAGAAGCATGCCAAAGAGAGGTATCAGGGCCCAGGCAGCTCCATTCAGAGCACCGTGTTCCCCCGCCAATGAGTTGGCCCCTGCACGCCTGTCCCGCTCTGCAGAGTGCTGCTTGCCTCCCTGAAGCACCACCTCATCCGACTCACCGATACACCTTGGAAATATTTTTTGTGGGGTTGACATTACATTAATTTCTGATCTTTAATCTTTAATCAAATAATGCAATGTATAATATACACTTTATTGCCTTACTTTTTGTTTTATGAGGACTGTTTTTCATAATATGGTTCATCCTTCATGGTCTCTGTCATTCTTTGCCCACATAACACTCAGGCCAGATTTAAGAACGCAGATGCTTTAAAAAAAGAAAAAAAGTTGAGTAAAGAACTGATTGAATAAAAAAAAGGGACCAATAACTAATCATCTGCATGCTGCCTTAAAGTTGTTCAGATGGTGCAGTGTGAGTGTGTGTGTGATCGCATGCTTTCTCATGCAGACGAAGCTTCTGCATGGCTCCATATTGTGTGTGTGTGTGTGAATGGTTGTGTGCGTTTCCACATGACAAAAGGCAAGAAAAAAAAAAGATGGTTGCCATGTTATTGTAAAGTTGTGGAGAGTTGCAGATTCAGGGCAAAATGCCTCTTGAATTTATCTGTACTTTTTTGTAAACTGAATAAATAATCGGTAAAGCAAGGGGCACAGGGGTCTGCTTGCTGTTTGGCTCTTTGTTTAATTTAGAGGGACAAAATATCTTTTCAATATATAAATATTTTTGATATTCTTTTGATAATGATATGATGTAGATCATTTAACATGCATATTGTAAGCATGGGACAGTTGATGTGATACGAAGATGTAATGCAGCACATGTCCAGTTCCAGCAGTACTCAGAGATGGACTTTAATCTTCACATTTTTGTGGAATATAATAAAGTTGCACAACCTGAAGACTCTCCTGATCGGACTTTGAAAGTCTGTTTAATGTGTGACTAATTTGCTGCCTCGTCATTTTTACTGGAGTTATTTTGGGTAATCTTTCTTCTGCCTGTTTCGGTTCACAACTGCAACAATTGTGTCGGTGCAGCTCATAGGATTTAAATATTGTTTTTTTCTTTTGTTACAGCTAACCAGCTAAATGTTTAAAACAGTTTTTTTGTTGTTTTTTTTTTAACTGTTTGACCTTATGTTCATTTGTTCCTCCACTGAAAGCCCTTACATTGAGAAATCAAAATATTTATTCAAACTCAAGACAGTCTGGCAGCATTGAAGTTTTATTGGTGTGATTAATGTAACATTTACAGTAGTGGGTTAGGACAGGTTACAATTAGTACTGGCCTTAGTTCATCTCATCACTGAATTTTAATGTAAAATCTTACACTTCCAATAACTGTGTAACAGTTCTATTATCTACCACAAGAGGGTGGTATTGCTACAGTTTTGAAAGAATCCTTTTATCCATGTGGATTTGGGAAAACTGTAGTAAGCATGTGATCCTGGTCGAAATGTGTAGCAGTAACAAATGTTGCATTTTGTTAACTTTTCAGCAAGGTTTTATGGTCACAATTCAGCTTGTTATAAATGCTCCATTATTTTTTTCTTAAGAGGTTAGAGCTGCCAGATGTCCTGAGTTTGTCCTTTGATGTAACATTTTTGATCCAATTCTTGCGTGATTTTTAGTGCATCTTTCAGGTCAAGTGCTTTACAAGTCAAAAGTGATAGAGAAGTTATTCAAGAGGCTGACATAAACATTTTTGAAGTGCAGTCATATATATATGCATCAGATGGTAACAAACTATAAATTATTTTGAGCTTTAAGAATTAAAGCTAGAAGTTGATATTTAACAAGCAAGAAAACACAAACAGGACTGATTTGAAAAGTCGATTTTGAATAAGCCCCCCAACCATCCTGTCAAAGAGTAGCGAGAGCTGAACTCTGGGAGTCTCTGCTGCAGTTTTCTATATAATGCCACTAGATGTCCCTGTGTTACCAAACTCTTAAGTTTCCTGGCTGGAAGTGTCTTGTTTATTCGCTGGAAGAAACACAATACTGTACTACACCTCATCTCAACAGTCACTTGGTCTGTTGCTCTGATTGTGCAGAAAAAAGTTTCCTACATCTTGATTGTTTCCTCTCATCCATCTGATCTGGGGCACAATAGGGAAATCCTGTCCCTCTGGAGGAATCACAGATTGTCTCTTATGAACTGCTATCTCTAAAATTTGTCATCCAAATCAAACATTAGCATAGTTTGTCTTTTTTGCACTTCCAAGCCTTGCTACGTTTCACTTCTCTTTCTCTGATATTCTCTTTCTTTCAGTGTTCTCTGCTTTCCCCATTCTTCACCTGGGATGGAGTCCAGATGTGGAACAGAGAAAGGAGAGATTGCTTGCTTAGCTATACAGGGTGAAGGGGGGGCTGCAGAGAAAATGTTGGAACGACATTAAAGTTTGTCTGGATACCATTAAGTACAATTTGATGTAATGTGCAGTTTGGGACGCAATGTTTAAAATGGAAACTGTGCTCTCCAGATGAGAGAGATTTGGACCTTATGGGGCAGGAGGGGGGTGCTGCACTTGAAGCCTTATTTAACAGCTTGGATAAACACCCCTCTGTTTCATTACAGAACAGGCGCCCATCTACTCCTTGTGCTTTCTTTTAGTAACCATGCTGGCTGTCTGAGCCTGCTCCAGAGTACAGTATCGCATACAGGAATAACAAACCGGGGGTCTGCTGCAGGGGTCAGAGCACAGTGCACCATTATATACTGCCAGGCTGCTTGCATGACTGGGAACCTGTAGTTTGAGTGTGTCGGTGAACACATGTCAAGCCCAATTGCGAGAAGTAACCTTTTCAAAAGCTCTCCTCCTGCACCGCCTCGTATTTTGAAACACTCTCCAGATCCGAATCACCACAGCCTCGGTCCTCCCAGGCCTCTCGTATGTCAAAAAGTATTTTTAAAACAGAAGTAACCTTCTGTATTTTCAGAACTTTTCGTGCACGCAGCTAAAAAAAATAAAAATATCACTGAACCGCAGACCAAAGTGAAAGATAAAGTAAGTGGAGCTCAATTTGAAAAAAAAAAAAAAAAGTATTTCAACAAAAAGATTGAGGTTTGGGGATATTATTTTTTCTTTCAGAGTAGACCCGGGACTAAATCAAAGTATTTGCTTGTGCAAACACATTCGGAGGATCTGGAAGCCCATATATTTCACTACTCTTACAACATAAACAACATATGGTATGCAAAGAGCAACACTCTCAATCACAGTCAACTCTGAAACATTTAGGTTTAGTTGCAGCTTGACGTGTTTGAAGTGGACAAAAACCCATTTGTATTCCGAGCCAGCAGGGTTTCACTGCATTAGCTTTGTGTTGCTGAGGAGATTACTACAAAACAGGCCGGCATTGACGTGCATTGTTCCTATGATGAGCTTACTGTCGTCTATGACATCCAGGAAGAAGCAAAGCATTAAGGGAGTAAAGATAAGTTTCCTAGAACAGATAAAATATGAGTATAAATATGATGCACCGTAGGTCCCTCGCTTCAAACTGGGAAAGACAAGACAACATGTCACTTAAGTAAGGCAGGTGTCTGATCTTCAAAAATCAGAAATAGGCAACAAGAAAATATTTACTGAACCAAACTGGCCGTTGGTGAGAATCAGGTTAACGACACCAAAGTTTAAAACAGCTAGAGCTAAGACAAACAAGGCTGGACAAATACTCGGGGTTATTTTACCAACGCACGCAGGGACGAGGAAAAACGTATCTCCAAAGCAAGGTGGACAGGTGCAGCACCTCGGGGTCATTATGTGTCATCGGCAACCGTTTGGGTATATTCATACCGACCGATTGTCTTAGAGTGATGGCAAAGTAAATCCTGTTCTAGCCGACCATTACAACTGTAAATCTGTAACTTTTATCAGACAGAAGAAATTAAGATCAATTTTTTTTTTTGCTACATGAGTGGTAGCACCAGACAGTATTAGAAAAATGACATAAAGTCAGTCTTTTTTAAATCAAAATCAAACCCCAGCAGAAACTCGTAGGGCGAACTGGACAGACATGTGCATGGGAGACCTGAGAAGTGGACAATCTGGAGACACCGTGGAAAACAAAATGGTTTGCCGCCTTGTGAGCCCCAGCACTGTAAAATGCACGGCCTTGCCAACAAACACTTATCACCGGCATTATTAGAACTCCGTCTTTGTTCATTTTCACGCTTGCGGTGCTCTATTTGATCATAAGTCTTTTTCCAGGAACAATATGGAATTTAGCGAAGTGCAGCCTATCTATAAAAGTCTTTGCTTCCTCTGGTTCCCGCCGATTGAATGGACAGTCTTTGATCTGCTCAGGGACACAATACACCAGAGGCTTTCGACATTCATTCATAACTTCACTTTGCTCCTCCAGCCCAGACACACATTGAAAGCAAGACCTTCCTGTGTTGTAAATGGAGGCAGCTAATTCAAAACAATAGTATTCCTTGTTCTTTATTGAGGAAATTTAGCTTTTTCCGAAGGCTACTTGTTGACATATTAGTTTCCCTGTGTGACATCATGGTTTAGCGACTTGTTATTAAGTTATTTATACTTTAGTTATCTTGAAGTAAAGAAAAACCGATGAGGCACTCAAGCAGTTTTCTTCATCCTGCCTATTAGCTAGTTTATTTTATTAATGATATAGTTATTAAAAACTATTAAAGGCTCAATATATTTGCTTATCTTCAAAACAATACCTTTCAATAATTCAATAAAACTTAAATATGCTATCTATTCTTTAAACTAATTACACACTAGGTGATATAATTTTACTCTTTTTCTGGTCATTTCTTATTTTTATTTCTTGTCCCTTCTCAGGAGATTTGACTATTCATAAGACCAATAAAAAAGAACTACCTGGCCGAGAGCATGTAGCGATCATACTGTACTGCACATTTACTCAAGACGTTACTACATGAGTGGTAGCTCCAGACAGTCTAGGAAAAATGACATGAAATCAGTCTTTTTCAAATCAAATCAAAATCAAACCGTATAAGAAACTCGTAGGGTGAGCTGGAGAGAAGTGTGCATGGCTGACCTGAGAAGTGGAGACACTGTGGCTGAGAGCATGCACAGGGTCTCAGTGTCTTCTGGACTGTTCAGCTGGCAGCTGATCTCCTTGTACACCAGGAGATCAGCCGGTGGCTTTAAAGTTAAGTATCGACATTCTTGGCACTATGGAGCGGTGCCGACTCTTGAAGGAAAACAAAATCAGCATCTCTGAAAAGATTCTTGGCAGAAGGAAGGAGGGAATGGTCTGAAATGTTGTGCCTGCACTGAGATTGGACTTGATGAAATGCAGTGGACCAGCAGCAGTAAATGACACGCCGTCCCAAATCATCGCTGCCTGTGGAAACTTGGTGCATCTCAATAAACGTAAACTCTGCTCCTCTCCGGTTTTCCTCCAGGCTCTGGGATTTGGATTTGGAAATAAAATGTGAAATTTACTATCAAACATTCACCCCATCTGTGCTTCAAAACTCCTTTCAAAGCTGTGGTTCTTGCTGTGGTTACACATTTCCCACCACGTTTTTTTTTTTTTTGCCCATCCACTCGACTTTCCGCTCGGACGTGTCTCTCTGCGAACAGCCATCTTCTTTTGGGGAAGTAACTTTTGTGAGGGTGTCAGTGTCTTCTGCACTGTTCAGCTGGGAGCTTCCTTTGGGGTCAGACGGGACCATTCGAAGCCTGCAGCATCAAAACACAACAGCTTTGAACTGGAAAAGATTTTCATTGCTCTCGTGGAATATTGTGATTTAATGAAAATGCATTCCGGGCTTTCATAACCGTAATAGACTGTGGGAGTGTATTTCTGTAACATGAGCTCAAATGATTGAACTGCTCGGTTATCAAGCAGCCATATCATGGACTGTAACTGTGTGTGTGTTTTATAGCAGAGCAGAGAACACCTTCATGT